CCAATGGTTTATCCATTTTATTTTTTTTTTATAAAACCAACTTTTAGTTTCATTTATTAATTCAGTTGTTTTCTTACATTCAATTTATGAATCTCACCTTTAATTTTTAGGATTTTCAATTTAGTGTTCAATTGGGGATTTTTAGTTGGTTCTTTTCTAGTTTTTTTTAATTGCATACCCAATTTATTGATGTGCTCGTTATTTTATTAATGTGGTTCTCTGATTATTGCTTTTGCTATATCCCATAGGTTTTGATACCTAACCACTACCTCCCTGTTCCATACTCTTTTAAAGAATCCCTTCCTTATCCTTTCCCCATACTCTCCTATTCTTTATTCTACCCACCCCTCTAAGAGTCCCAAAGACAGGAACTAGTAGAAGAGAATGACTCCAAAACATCTAAAAGCAGAATCTCAAAGAAAAACACAGATTGGGTACAAATTCAGCTGGAATTTGGAATGTATACCACATTCCAAAATCAGGCTTCATTAATAGTCAACGTCCAGAAAAGTGAGATTATACATAGCTGTAAACTACCTTTGGTCAGATCCTACACCAAACATTTGGATTACTGTGTTCAGTTCTGGAGGTTGCCTTTTAGGAAGGTTGATAAATAAGTAAGTACATGTAGAGACCAGGTTTTTTTTTTTTAATTTTTTTTTATTTTGAGGCAATTGTGATTAAGTGACTTGCCCAGGGTCACACAGCTAGTAAGTGTCAAGTGTTTGGTCTGAGGCCATATTTGAACTCAGGTCCTCCTGACTTCAGAGCCACTGCTCTATCCACTATGCCACCTAGCTGCCCCGAAAACAAACCAGTTTGAAGATGTACCTGGAGACGGTCCTAGATCAGTTGAATGGACTGGGGATGCTCATCCTGGAGAAGAGAAGACTTAGGGGGGACATGAAACTGTGTTCCAGGGTCCACAAAACTGTCAAGTAGGATCATATTTGTTCAAGTTGACCAAAGAGAGCTAAATTAGAAGCAACAGGTGTAATTTGTAATGGTAGATTTGGGTTTTAATAGAGGGAAAACTTTGTAACAATTACAAAAGCTGTCACATCACTCAATCTTCCCTACAGGTACTTCCACTACCATGAGGGGCAGTAGGATCCATATTCCTATAGATCTTCAAATGGAGGCTGCATGGTCACTTGTCAGTGATGTAGAGGGAATTCCTAGTTAAAAGTTGGACAAAGTGACTTAATTTCAATTCCAAGACTCCGTAATTCTGTAACTAGCAACATATCCTAACAGCTCATCCTAAATCCACTCTCTTCCAAATCAGCCTTCATAATGCTTCTTCTGCACAGATGAAGATCAAATGAGTTAAAGTATTTAAAGTAGTTTACAAACCTTAAAGTGGTATCATATTATTATAAAGGGCGATTATTATTATTGAGAAACATGTAAAACACCCATGCCTAAAATTCAAGGTCTTCCACAGTCTGGTTCTACCCTACCTTTTCAGTCTTATTTCATATTACTCCAGAAATACTGTGCTGCAGACAAACTGGACTCTTTGTTGTTTGACTGTATTCTGCATTTCTTGCTGCTGAATGTGTGCTCTCATGCTCACCATTCCCTGCCCCCCCATTCAAACATCAGCTCTGAAAACTTATCTCCCCAGTCAGTACTGACTTTCCTTTCTGACCTCACATAGCACCTTGTATCTCTGATAGACTTAGCATATATTACTGATTAGTTACCAGTAACACCATAAATTCCATGAACATATCTTATTTAACCCTCTTATCTAGTATTTAAACTATATGTGTGTCCTGCAAATACTTTTTCTGTTGAATTGAAATTCTTGATTTCATTGAGCCAGGGTAGGTAATATTGTCCATGCAGTTGAGATGAAAACAACACTGTAATTTCTCTCCATATGAAGTGTGGCTAGCTGTCCTGTTGGGGGCAGAATCAGTGGATTTTCAAAAGTAATGAAGCTCTGTCCTTGTTTATTTGTATATTGATGACTCTCAGGTCTATATGTCCAGCTCTACTCTGTCCTGGGAGCTCTAGGCCCCATATCACCAGCTGCTTAATAGGTATTTGGAATTGGCTGTCCAAAGTCGAACTCTTTGCCTTTTTGCCCACCCCAACACCCACCCACCCACCCCAACCAGTTCTTGTGAATTTTCTTATGGCTGCCAAGCATACAGTCAGTCTCCCAGGGGCATAACCTTAGTGTCATTCTTTATTCTTCACTTTTACCCCACATATCCAATTAGTTGCTAGTTGGCCATTTCTGTGTCTACAATATCTCTCAAATCCATGCCATTTTCACCTTTCAACACAGCCACGAATCCAGCTCAGGCTCATGTCCTCTCTCTTCTGGACTACCGCAGTAGCCTCTTCTCCCATCTCCCTCCCACCGGGCCCTTCCTATTCCAATCCACCTTCCACACAGCCCCCAGAATGATTTTCTTAACGTGCGGGCCCCGCTACGTCACCCTGCCTAAGTGGTAGAGCCGTGAATCACTAAATTCTAATGACTCCCTATTGCCTCCAGGTTCAAAGGTAAAAACTCCTCGGTTTGGGATTTGAAACTCTTCACAACTTAGTCCCTTCCCACCAGTGTTCTTAAACGTTACCTCCCCTACGGACATACTGCACACCCGCTGTAAAGGGCTCCTCATTGTTATTCTACACGCGGGATTTTCCATTTCCCCTTCGCAGTCTTGGCCCTGGCTTGTCTCCCTCCGCTTAGAATCCACTCCTTTCTCACCTGGACTCAGAATCCTTGACTTCCTTCAAGATTAAACTCAATACCACCTTCTGCAGGAAGGTGCTCATGCGTTCCCTTCCCACACTACCTGATTTTCATTTTATGTAAATTGTGTTTACATATAGATGGACCATATCTAGACGTGTGCACGAATATAGTGTGTGTCTATCTATATCTGTAGTTACAGGTATAGATGTACACACAATCTTAAATCTTAAAAAACCCCAAAGTCTTAAAAGTTATGTAGGCTGAAAACTGCCCTGAGACTTTTAGGACACCCTGTTTATGTTCATGTGTCCCTTGTTAGATGTGAGAACCCTGAGGACAAGAAATGTTTTACTTTTGTCGATGCGCCCCCCTAACCCCCCCCCCCCCCCCGTGCCTATCCAAGGTCACACAGTACAGTATCCAGGTCTTTTTGGTTTTAAAGGTTTGGCCCCTTGTCCACGATGATTGAAGTGATGTGGTGGATAGTATATTAAACTTGGAGTTAGGAGACAGTTCATTTTTGGCCTTAAACACTTAATAGTTGTGGACCCCTAGCAAGCCACCTTATTGCTGTCAGCCTCAGAATCATAGCGTCTTTCTCACAGGATTTTGAAGACAAATGAGATGTTATGTAAAAACAACTTTAAAAACATTAAAGTGCTATGTAAATGTCAGTAATTATAATTATAATGTTGTATTGCTGATTTAGGATTTATGCTAGCTGCTATTTTTCCTTGTTTTCAAACAGGACCATGATATCTTGGAGGTGAGGCCAATGACAAGCAAGTTGGATTTGGATTTAAGTGAGGGAGGACTGTGCCAAGTCACCAGCCTCACTTTTTCCTCCAGAGACATTTTGGATCCAGTGGCGAGATACAGATCAGACTGACTGGACATGGCCCCCTGGAAATGGACTGGACAAGGAAAATTTGGAACTCAAAATCTTATAAAAGTGAATGTTGAAAGCTAAAAATAAATAAATAAATAAAACATAACTAGTTGACATGGAATATTCCCAAATCAGTTCAGAGGAATTAGCTCCTTCTGACATTTTAAGAGTTCTATTTTTATGGAAAGTGTAAACATTGAGTGGAAATGCTAATGCTAATTTGTTCAGCTAACTGTAGTGATATAAAAACAAGCTGTTCTTATTGATCAGAACCAGCTAATTAGTCATTTAGAAAATTAGTGCTTGGACAAAGAATTCTTATTTTGGTATGGATATAAGAGGACATTCTAAAATAACTTTTTAAAGTAAAAATAATTTAAGATATAGGATGTCATGTTGTCTTCAATTAATTGGTGGTTCTCTCTTTTCAATTTTCATTTTAAAAAAAAATCTCTAAATCTTATCTGTAGAACTGGCAAGCTAAAATATCATCACTAGGAGTGGGAGGTTGGTGCTAATATTGGGTATTCTCCAGAGAGACATACCTTTCTGTCCTAGCCCGGCCTTTCTGGCAGAGCAAGGTAAGGATGGTGTTACTGAAAGAATGTATGTTTTGTTGACCTGTTTGGGAAAGAGGCTTAATTCTGATCACAAAAAAAGGAACCAAAGGCAAGGAAAGGAATAATTACTCTTTTCTTGAAAAGCTGATCTGATTCTGACTAAACACCATAAAGGACCTACATATTTAGTATTCTAGGGAGCAAAAAGATATATGCAAATAAGAACACAGAACATTCAGAACAGATAATTTTCAGAAAATTCAGTGGAAATTTAGAAGTTGAAAGTGAGCAAAACAGAGTCATAAGGTAAACTATTTTCCTAGAGAAGGAAGAAAAAAAACAAGTTAAATGGGCAAAGTCCTGTATTAGAAAATCATGGTGTTATACTGTACTTGGCCACTCTGCTTGTTTGTTTTATTAAATGTGATAAATATGATAAATACAAATAAGAAATGAAAAAACACTTAAGCTTTTGTACATTTGAATTTGGAGCCATGACTAAGCATGAATGTTGGCTTATTTTTCTTCAAAGTCACACATGATTTAGAGTCAGGAGGACTACGGTTTTCAAAGGGGGAGCAAATCAAATATAAAAACCTATAAATGTAGAACCAATTAGTAATAGATACCATACTCATTTTTCAATTTTTTTGGCATATAACAAAAATTAATAAATATAGTAAATTATAAGTGGAATGAGATACTTAACACACATTTGTAATAAATGAAGCAGGAACAATAATTACATTGAATACCATTTCATGGAACCACATTCCATGTCTCTCAAAGGCTTTTGAGCATATACATTGCAGAAGTAACAGCAAAACAAACATCTGAGATACACTTTTATTTGAAAGAGCAAATTACTTGCACATGTAAATTCAAATCTTAAACTCAAGTATTACTTCTCCATAACAACAACTGTGAGGTAGATATCCACATAGTAATAAATGATTTGTCACTTTTGTTTTCTTGTTGCAGTAATGAAGATTTACCACTGAAAAGCCAGAAATTGTGGTGGTTGTGATATCTGACCAATGGGCAGAGTTTGAGCAACTGTCTGGACTTCCCAGATAATTGGCCAATTTAATATGTACTCCTGGGGGCACTCTGTGTAATCACTTTGATTTGTGTGATTTTTACCCTGAATCATGGGAGTTATGACTGATTTCAAACACTGATTAAAAAGTGAAGTGCTTAACTTGGTTGGAGGTTTAAATATATTAAATTTAAAATGTCATTACATCCATCACCAGAATTGAATATAATGAACATAAGGTCCATAAATTTTAAAATGTCCTTTTTTTTAACTTGATGTGGGTTTCAAATATTACAATTCTTAAAATGCTACAAATTGTGATAAAAATACCTTTACCCAAATATGAAAACAAAACCAGGGTTTATCAGAATTGTAATAGTAGGTAGTGCAGGTAGAGTATACATACTGAAAATTTCCTTTTTTCACAGGATAATTTAATTTTGTACACTAAGCCAGGTTTATTCTTGAATTAAAGGACTCTAGAATCCCTCCATTTAGTAAATGTAGGTGTAGCTAAAATTCTCAGAGCTGCTGTTCTTCCCTTTTATGATGAGTCATTGTAGGAATTAAGGTTTTGTAAACAATAGTGAGAAAGTACCTACTCCATTTTCTGCTTGAGACTCACAGCTAAATTATCCCATAGAAATGATTGTATTAAAACACTTTCAGAGATATATTCCAGTCTTTTGCTCCAAATGATAAATCTCCAAATCCTTCCTACCTAAACAGAATATGGTACAATGTCACCTTTCATATTTCTTTTGTTCTGCTGTAGACATCAACAGACAGTTATTGTCCTCTAGCACAGAAAAAGCTTAAATAAGGCCATCATTATTGACATTTCAGAGTCAATACCAAGTTGATGTCTCTATCTGAATGAATTACAAATAGGATTTTCTGATTGTTTCCCTCTTGATGCCAAGGTCAGTATTAGACACAGTAGGGGCTCAATAAATGTTCACCAATAAGGCTAATAGTTTTCATTATCTGTCATCACTGATACATAAGGAACTAGGTGTCACTTCATACTGTTAATTGTGACAAAGCTCATTAAAGAACTATGCCAGGTTAAGTCAGCTGAGGAATTTTAAGAGCACATGTCAACTCCCAGGAAAAGAATTATTTTTTCTTAGTCATTCTGTCATCCCACCAATGTATAAGACACCCCAGGCTTGAACTGAATGAAGCAACAGGTTCTCTTCTAGTAATGTTTAATTAATGTTTATGATTCAGCTACAGGTTTTGTAGTCAGTTCATGAGAGTTGGCTTTATTCCTATTGGATTCACCCAACTACCATGATTTAGCCATTTTATTCAGCTTCCTGGATTCAGTTTTCCCCTTTTCAAATTTTCTGTTATATGACTTCCCTTTGAAAAGATCAAGCTATTGATTTAAGTATTACAATTATTGAGTGTTTTGGTTAAGAAGAAATGTATATGTTTTGTTCAATCAACAGTTATTGAGTGCTTACTATGTGTAAGGCATTGCACTAAGCTATGAAATTTGGAATTTATTAAAAATTGGTTTATGTAAGTCAGTGTATGAACTAAATGAATCCTGTACAAGGTTAAAGTTCATTTAGCTTTAACTGATAAAAGCAGTTATGTAAGAATGGAAAAGCAAAATTGTGTTGCAAATGCACAAAACATAGCAAATGCTAAAAGATACTGACTTTTAAAATTTTATGTAACATTTTACTATACAAGAAAATATCCATTATAATTATTTATATTTCATCATAGGAAGGTAGTGGATAAATTGCATATTTAATAATAACTTTCTACATAGCCAGTTGGTTTACTTTTGAGGGATAGGCAAAGTCAAGATATAAAAATATTCCTTTTCACTTAGCCCCCCCATATAGTGACTTTTCCAGAAGATATTATTTTTATATAGCTAGTTACTGAACAAATAGACATTGTTTATATGGTTATAAATCTAGCTTCAGTATTACAATCTCCAATACACTGATACAGTTTCCAGTTAGCAAAATTTCCTAAGATAATTTTGAACCTGCAAAATGATATTCAAGTGTTTTGTTATGGTTCCCTTGAATGGTTTTCCACATAAGCTCAAGCAACATTCGTTTATTTCATCTGTTTAGCCTTTGTGTTAGTACTTCTCGATACATGATGGAGATGTATATAAGCAATAAAAAGATAACAAAGAAATCATCTAGAAATCCTAGAATTCCAAACAAGGCTTCAGGAACAAAATCCAAGGGTGATATCAGATAGAAAAAAGCTCCCAGTAAACAAAGTAATATCCTGATGCGGAACATCCAGAAAAGGCCCCCAACTGAAAACATTTCCCTGAATGCATGTCTCAGTAAAGTGGGCAGATCCATAATTCTTTCCACAATCTGGCAGGAGGGAAAAACAAACATATTATATACTTGGTTTTCAATATATTATATTTCACAATATGGACTTCTCAATCCCAGAATACTGCTGCTACCACATCTATGAACTGTATCTTATAATTAGCCAATCTTTATTTAATTACTGGCTTCTTTTAAAATAGGTATACTGTTGGTACCACATACATATATGTTGTATATATACATATTACCCACACACTCACACACACAAACTACACATTTAGATACCAAGTATCTATAATTTCATTACCATGGAACTCCTTCCATCAATGCAGACTGCATTTAGTATATTATATAATTTAGAAGATTTAGAAAGTTGTCTAAGGTTCAGAAAGGTTAAGTCCATGGTTATATGGCTACTAAAAGGCAAGGGCAAAATTTGAGCCTGGGTCTTTCTGATTCAAAGCTCTTTACTACTCAGCCACAATGCCTCTCTCTGTCTCTCACTAATTTACAACATTTGAAAGAAACTAAAGGGTCAACCCATTTTGAAGATTACTGGAAATCAAAATGTCAAGTTGCCTCTGAGTTGAGATAAGCAAAGTAAAACAATGTATTCATTACATGGCACTTTTGAGATGTAAACCTGTAAGAACCACTTTGGCAACTCTGAAAAGCAAAGAAAGCAGTGCCTGTTTGAATCAGAGTTTTGCTTGCCCAAGTATTAGCTGTAAACTAATGACTCTAGTGATTATCTGATTTTGAGCAGGACCTGTCTAGTCATTTGACTACTATTTGAAATGAAAGATTTTTAATAAGGATAGTTGGAAACATGAGTCACCAGGTTATTATGATTATCATCAAAAAAGCTAAAAAGCAATTTTGTCTTAAAAATTAATTTGAAGTAAAATATATACAGTTTATATTTTTTACAAGTAAAATGCAAAATCTTAAAATGACATTGAAAAACTGATAGGTTTCCAATTTTGAAAGATGTTTTATATTTAATATAACTTCCTATATGTTCAATTTGAGTAATTTGGTGGTTAGGTAAACAAGATATTACTAAAGCATCTATTTTTACTTAATATTAGTATGAATAATAACTTTTAAAATATTTTCTAGTTAAATAATGAACAAATATATAGCTAGAGAATTATTAATTTTAACCTCCTGTTAGTGCTTACAACATGCTAATTACAAGTCTTGTTAGATACTGCTGTTTTCCTAAGAATTTTGCCAATCCACAAAATATATTAAAAAGTATTCTTTTGTGCCAAAAATGCTACTTTCCTTCATCTACACTGCTTAATATTCTTCCCTAATTTATGCTCCTTTCTATGTGGCCCTTCTTGACATGGCTAACTTGTGCCCCCATCGCCAACCCCTTCTCTTGATCCCACCTTTTCCCATCTTCTTGATCTTACTTCATCAGTTACCCTCTTTCATGCATCTTCAATCTTTCCTTCTCCTTTCTGTCAGCTTACTTAGTTACTCTCTATTTAAAAAAAAATCCTTCCTTTGACTTGGCTAGTCCCTCAAGCTATTATACTATGTCTTCTGCCAAAATCCTAGAGTAGTCAATACTTCCTAAATTCCTGACAATATGGCTTCTGTTCCCTCTATTCTATTGGAATCACTCACTCTAATATTGTTTAATTTAATGATCTGTTAACTGTCTTTATCTTCTTTGAACTTTCTGCTACCCGACATTATTGACTATCCTCATCCTCTTCATACCCTCTCCACCTTTGTCTTTTGTGATACAGAATTCTTGGTGCATAGCTCTCTCATACTTTTCTCACCATTCCTATTTGTTTTCCTGCCCCTTAAACCAGGAGGGCCTCTAAGGTTGTCCTCCCTCTCTCTATATACATAACCTTTAGTGATTCCATCAACTCCCAGAACTTCAGTCACTACCCTTATGCAAATGACCTCCCCAAATCTCTATCTGTACCCCTAAACTTTCCTTAAAACTATAGTACTATATTTCTAACTGCCTATTAGATACTGCCACCTAGATGATGCCCACAGGCAACTCAAGCTCAATATTTCTAAAACTTAATATTTCTTAAAACTTAATTAGTTAAAAAAAAACATCATTCCCTTCTTCTCCAAACTTTGTCCCTCCCCATAACTTCTCAATTAATGTTGATAATGCAGTATGACCACTATCTGTCAAGCTTATAATCGCAGAGCTATCTGATCCTTCTCGCAGCTACCCTGTCTTTTTACAGTCCCGTTATCTTATGGACTAATGTAATAAACTTCTTTTGGTTTTTCTGCCTCTACTATATCCCCTCTACAATTCACCATTCAAACCTCCTCTTCCTAAATCACTACTTGGACAACATAACTCTATTCTAAAGCTTCTTTAGCTCCCCACTGCCTACTGAATAAACCCATTCCTGGCATTCAGAGCTCTTCCTCCAGAATCTTGTTTCAACCTGATCATATACTACTCCCTTTGATGTATTTTATATTCCAGGTAAACTGGACCACTCTGTGTTCCTGTCTTACTCTTTCCTGCCTCTGTTCAGTTCTTCCGGGATTCCTGGAATGAAGTCCCTAGATCTTTAGCTCTACTGCTGAAATTCCTTCCTTCAGGGCCCAACTTAATAGTTAATTCCTTTATGAAGCCTTCCCTTGCCTTCTTCCTCCTCAGCTGAAAATGATCTTTCTCCTTCCTCTTATTTTTCACTGCACACTACTTCAACCTCTCAAGGGAGAGCAATGATTAGAAGGCTGGACTTGGAGACAGCATGACCTGAGTGTAAATCTGACTTCGGACATTTGCTATTATCCTTGTGACCCTGAAAGTCACTTAAACTCTTTTAGCCTCAGTTTCTTCATTTGTAAAATGGGCATAATAATAGCCTCACAGGATTGGAGGATCACTTGATATAATATAGATAAAAGTGTTTTGTAAGCACTAAAGTATTATATGTTTGTCACTATTACCACATCCTCCCTGGTATCATAATTATTTTTCAATATATCATCCTTCCCCTCAAACTGTATTGAAGCTTATAAGCTTCTTGAGAGCAGGATCTGTGTCATACCCACACCTTTTGTATCCCTATCATGTAGCCTATCACTTTCTGCATAGTATATATCATTTTGGAAATTATCTATGATAATTCTTGTGTTTCAGACATGTTAAACTTTTCAAGGGCTGTCCTGTATTGTTTTCAAAGATTAATAAAACACAGTGGTGGACAATGTTCAAGTCCTGTCTCAGACACATTTTATCCCTGTGACCCTGGACAAGTCATTGAAGCTGTCTGCCTCAGTTTCCTCATCTGTAAAATGGGGATAATAATAACAGCTGTGAATTGTGAGGATCAAATAAGATAATACTTGTAAAGTGCTCTGAAAATCTTAAAGCAATACCTAAATGCCAGCTATTATCAGTGAGGTATGGAAGATTTTTGGATTAAAGATGGTTCCGAAAGTTCCAAAATCCCTTGTACCGAACAAAACAAACTTAGTATAGCTAAACAAGGGAGCTCACACATCGCCTTAACTTGTAAGGGTATGTGCCTCCCTCAATCCTACCTACATGCTTTTATTTGCATGACACCACTGAACAAGGTATGATCATGTGTGATTTGTAAAAATGGATCTTGGTATATTCTGGATGCTTGCTTATTGATAATAACACATTTTACAGTAAATTGTAAAAATTCTTCTAGTCATTTATAAAACTTTTGAAGATAACAGACTAAAACTGCTAAAATGAGAGTATATTTTAGTTTGCCACAACATTTTCTCTGGGCAACTAAAATAAAATCATCAAAATGTTTCGGAATAATTACATCGATGTATAAAAAATATAGGAATGAGACCTGACCAAAGGACATTGTTGGGAGCATTATAGTTAAGTAGCATTATAGTTAAGAACAAAACTATCAAGTTCTAACTTATTCTCATTTTTTTTTAGTACATCTGTGTGCACATAATTCTCTATTTCTCTCAAGTTTGAATATTACAATTGTGGTTACTAGTCTCTATTTCTTCCTTTACCACTGCCCTCCAAACAAAACTTAATAATTATATAAAGACTTTTAAAAAAAGTTTCAATATTAGATTTGGGGGTTGCTATTTTGTTTCATTTAGCCCCTTCCTCCCAACTTAAAAGATTAAAATAATCAATTTTTTTTTTATAAGAGAAATTTATTCCTTGGGAAAACTCCTGGGTAAGGTTACTGAGTCAGCGATTGACAAAGTGAAGGAGGAAGCAAATGTCCAAGAGCTTGTTTAATACATACTGGTGGCGAGGCTTCCATAGTCAAAGAACACTTGTTAAAATATTTTGCTTTACAAAAATAGAGAATCAAAATGACTACTATTTTGCCACCTTGATGTTACTTACTGATCTGGGTTGTCCTGAGAATCTTCGATTATAGTCATTAATATCTTGATGCAATTCTGAGACATCCTGAGTCTGATTATCTTCACCAAAAACTGGTAAGAGTAAGGTAACCTGTATAAAAACAAACAAAAAAAGTCATTTTTATTACTCCTGCAACTCTTCAGGGATATAAATGATAAATTGCTGAATTTTTCAATAACATAATAGTTCATAATAAAATAATAAAATAGTGTTCATCTGTGCATGTTGCCTTTATTCATCAGAATAAGAAATGCTTAATTTGAGTCCTGTTTATTTCTTTTAATGAAAGCAAAATTGGAAGAAAAAAAACTGGATAATCAAATACAGTGCTCATTTATTTACAATTATTTAAATGCCTATATAAACACTGAATATACCCACTCTCTAGTTCTAATTTTTTTTGTTACCATGAGAAACTAATATAACAGCTATTTTTTGACCTGGGGATATTGGGTGATACAGGAATGATAGGAAAACATAAGATACAAAATGGCACCAAAATGTGATTATTTTGAGGAATAAATAAATGAAAGTAATATCTGTATTATCTGGGATTTTGATTTCCATTAAGACCTTCAAGTCACTAATACTTAAGACATTGATAAGTTCTTATTTGTACTGCAAAGGTGCCTAGTCTAACTATTGTCATTTAAATATATTAACTTAATGCCATTAACTCTTAATCATTCATGAGGGGAAAGAGGAAGGACTGCTAAAGACAATCTACCCCTATGAGTATTAAGAAATGTATTCTAGTTCCAAACAAATGATGATGGTTCTAGGACAACATGCAAAATACTAGGAGCTGAAATCTGGCTAGCCATGGAGAAGGGGAGGGAGTCTTTTGCAGGCCTTTCAACTAATAAGTGGGCCAAAAGGCAGCACAACATCCTATTGTCATTTTCCACTGTGTCTGAAAGTCAGGTAAAGCAGGAGATAATAAAGGAGAATGAAAATGAAGGAAAAAGGAGTCAATATGATATGAGAGAAAGGAGGAAGCCAGGATAAAGATAGAAGAAGCAGAAATTTTGTTTTAAATGAAAAATAGCAAACTTGCTATATAATAAATCAAGTGCCTTTTTGATGAGTATTCATTAGGAAATTACTGACTAGAGGAAGCAAGTTTCCAGTCAGCTGTACAGCATTTTTTGTCTGTTCCATGATAACCTTCAAAGAACTGACAAAATATGGCACTTAATTGGCATCAAGAGATGCCATAAATTAAATGTGTGGTTCAGTCCATCATCTGGATAGAAAATGTCAGCCAATACTGCTATATGGGGCTCTTATGTAAATTTAAAACAATTCAATAAAATTTATCCTTGTTGGAAATCAATGATAACAGTGAGTGATGTCTATAGTTTACACTTAGTTTTTAAGCACTTAAGAGAGTTAAAAGCTTCAGCCAATAATATAATTTTATATAATTTTGATGAAGAGCCTGTTTCAGTTTAGCTTCTTGTTATTTCATGTCTTTCTTAGGAATTGAATGATTTTAATAAAATTTTACTACTATCCGGCACGTATGGGGTATTCCAGCAGGACTAACCTTTGGTGTGAGGGCTTGCCAAGCCCTTTTCAGAGCTGCTCATGCACTTTTGGTATCAACCTAATTCACCCAACTCTCACTTGTGGCTCCAAAAAGCTGTAGTATGTGCAGTGGCAACACCACACTGTCTTGGCAGATGTGCTAAACCAGGCTGAAGGTAACTGACAGGCCTCAAACCTGTCGGTGAATTAGAGGGATGTCTACCCCAAACATATGAAGACTTTTCCCAGCAGAATGGGTGGATGAGAAAAAATTGTTCCAACAGCCATGAAGGTGGCTTAAGTAGGCCTGTGGAGCACTTAGAGCTTGGTCAGACATCAAAGATGCCAAGGTCATCCACTGCATCCCAGGTCATCGCTAGTCATCTTGACTTTTGTCCTGCCACTGGACTTCGATGACTCAGGAAGAGAGGAGAGAGTGAGGCTGATGACTTTGTGCAACTCTGCCTTACTTTCCCAAGCTAAGACATCACCTGTGATGTCAATGGTCATCTTCAAAAACAAAGAACAAACAACAACAACAACAACAACTATATTAAGTCTGGTCTGTGAAAAATCAACTCAACAAGTACAAAATGAGTGAAACGTGGCTAGACAATAGTTCATATGAAAAGTACCTGGTCTCTAGACTGCAAGCTCTAAGACATCGCCACCAAAACAGCTAACATGGACTATACATAAATGGAAACATACACAGTATCTACAACAGCCAGGGACAGAATACATTCAGTTTCAAAAGCCAGCATTTAAGAAATACACTGACTGATAAGGTAGAAAGTAGCCACAGGAAGACAACTAGGATAATAAAGACCATTTAGACCACACCATCTAAGGATGAGCTGAAGGAAATGAAGACTTTTTATCTTGAAGAAGGGACTTATGGGGAACATAAAGGCTGTCTTCCACAATATTCAAAGGCCATCGTTAAGAGAGAGATTAAACTTTTTTGCTGAGTTCCAAAGGGTAAAATGTTAGGATTAATGTATATAAGCTACAGAAGATTTAGGCTTAATATAAGGAAAAACTTTTTTGCAATTAGATCTGTTTGAAAGTTAAATGTGCTGCCTTTGGAAGCAATGAGCTCCTCATATCTGGATTCCAAGCAGGGCCTAGATGACTACTTGTTAAGAGATACGGTACGAGAGATTTTTTTTTTCATCAATAGTATTTTTTTTCCAGTTACATGTAACATTCATTTATGTAAAATTTTGAGTTCCAAATTTTTCTTCCTCCCTTCCTTTCCACCTCCCCAAGACAGCAAGCAATCTGATATAGGTTATAGATGTAAAATCAGTTAAACATATTTCCACATTAGTCATGTTGTGAAAGAAGAATCAGAACTAAAGGGAAAAGTCATGAGAAAGAAAAAAGTGAAAATAGCATGCTATGCTCTGTATTCAGACTCCATAGTTCTTTCTTGGATTTGGCTAGCATATTCCATCATGGGTCTTTTGGAAGTGTCTTAGATCATTGTATTGCTGAGAAGAGCTAAGTTTATCATAGTTGATCATCGCACTATGTTGCTGTTACTGGGTACAGTGTTCTCTTGGTTCTGCTCACTTCACTCAGCAACAGTTCATGTAAGTCTTTCCAGGTTTTTCTGAAACCATCCTGCTTGTCATTTCTTATAGCACAATAATATTCTATTATAATCATATACCACAATTTGGTCAGCCATTCCCCAATTGATGGGTATCCCCCCAATTTCCAATTCTTTGCCACCACAAAAAGAAATGCTATTAATACTGTTGTACATGTGGGTCCTTTTCTCTTTTTAATGATCTTTTTGGGATACAGACCTCGTAATGCTATTGCTGGATCAAAGGGTATGCACAGTTTTATAGCTTTTTGGATATAGTTCCAAATTGCTCTCCAGAATGGTTGGATCACTTCACAACTCCACCAACAATGCATTAGTGTTTCAATTTTCCCACATCTTCTCCATCATTTATCATTTTCCTTTTCTGTCATATTGGCCAATCTGCTAGGTGTGAGGTGGTACCTCAGAGTTGTTTTAATTTGCATTTCTCTAATCAATAGTGATTTAGAACATTTGTTAAAAATATAGATTTAATTTCTTCATCTGAAAACTTCCTGTTCATATCCTTTGACCATTTATCATTTGGGGAATGACTTGTATTATTATAAAATTGACTCAGTTCTCTATATATTCGAGAAATGAGGCCTTTATCAGAAATACTGGCTGTAAAAATTGTTTCCCAGCTTTCTGGTTTCCTTGTAATCTTAATTGCTTTGATTTTGTTTGTGCAAAACCTTTTTAATTTAATGTAATCAAAATTATCCATTTTGCATTTCATAATGTTCTCTGTCTCTTGTTTGGTGCTAAATTCTTCCTTTCTCCATAGAACTGACAGGTAAATTATTCCTTGCTTTCCTAACTTACTTATGGTATTATCCCTTATGCCTAAATCATGTACACATTTTGACTTGATCTTGGTATAGGGTATGAGATGTTGATCTTTGCTTAGTTTCTGCCATACTATTTTCCAGTTTTCTCAGCAGTTTTTGTCAAATAGTGAGTTCTTATCCCAGAAGCTGGAGTCTTCGGGTTTATCAAACAATAGATTACTACAGTCACTTACTATTGTGTTGTGTGTACGTAACCTATTCCACTGATCCACCACTCTATTTCTTAGCCAGGTATGAGACATTCTTGTTCTAGTAGAGACAGCAGAGATTTCTTCATCAGAACCCATCTCCATTGAAGCTTCACTTTGAGCACCACCTCTGTGATGTTTTCAGTATAGTACCAAACCTCACCCCAAATCTGATGTCATTTAAATAGGCATGTCTCCCTCAAGGGAATACTTAGCTTGGAAGTGAAAAGATTAAAATTAACATTACCTCTAGTTTCTACTGTATTAATTCTACAGTATAATTGACTTTTATAACTGAGTATGCATCTACCTAAAGCCATCTTTTCATGCACTTGAGTTGTACTCAGGAATTTTGCTTTCCCTCTGAGTTAGTTTAAAGGTATAATAATAATTATTATTACTATTTTCTATTCATCCTTTCCCTGGGAGGGAAGAGATTTATTTAGAAAACATATCTGAAATAAGAACATGGAATTGAAGGAGAGTCTTTGGAATTGTGAGAGATCTGGCTCATCACTATAGACACGTCATAAATATGGGTGGAACTCATCATGGCATCTCCCATGGTGGCCATTCTCTTCTCAGGCAGCACAGTGAATAGCTGGGGTGTCTCACTATTATGCATAGCCTCTTCATTATTTTTTCTTAGTTCAATAAGTTCAGGTGTCTCCATCCCAAGTGGAACTGACAAAAAGACCACAGAGATTATGAGACCACTGTCCGCAGAGGTAATGAAGCCTGTTTCATCAGGTTTATCTTCATCACTCTCTTCCTCCTCCTTCTACTCCTCCTCCTGAGCATAGTCACCAAAGGATCAGCTCTCAAGAATGCGAGAAGTCAGTCCGGATCTTCAAGGTGGGGTAGGAAGAAGGAGGTTCATATCGCTGCATAGCAATCAGCCACAGGGGAAGAACTTTGTGGGTAGTTAGTCTAACTGGCATCCTCAATGAAATCCTCAACTCATCAGACAAATCTCCTGGCTACTTCTTCTTCAACTGAGTCTCAGACTCTTTCCCTTCATCGTAAAGGTCCTTGTGAATTGTCAGCTTCGGCTTGGTCTGCCACTTGAAGAAGGCATCATGTAGTTTCTGGTAGTCAATGTCAATCTTCCCCATCTTGAGTAGAACCTTCTCACAAATTTTTGACTTCATGATCTTCTGTTCTTCCTTCTCCTGAAGAGCATCTCCTGAATTCCTGTCCATCTGATAAAGTCTAGCAATTCAAAAAGTGGCTTCTCAATCCCCTGCTTGCCCTGCAGGTATTTGTATTTAAAGCACCAGTGGCCTGTCACTGGAATTGAGTTCCTTGTGGTCTTCAGGTGCACCAAAAGCTTGGGGTCCTGGGCTATCACATCATAGATCTCTACCACATCTGGCCAGGCCACCAGCTGTTTCAGTTCAGCCACAGTAAAACTGTTCATCCTCTGCAATTTCTTCTTGGAGAGTTTGGGAGCCTCAGGGTTCTTTTCCTGCCTATCATCATTGCTGTCATCATCACTGTCTTTGTGCTCTTCCTCAAAGCCTTTCTTTCTTGGGAGCTGCAGTTTTCTGGCTTGTCTGATGTCTAATTAATTGTCTAATGTGGCCGAACATGCTGCCAAAAATTATGTTAGCTTTTAAAATATTATATCACATCCTTGGCTCATTAATATGAATACTTTACAATTTATAAAGCATTTTCACTACATTACCTCATTAGGTGTATATAAAAAGTAATCCTTGGTGTCATGGAACTCAAATGCTAGAATTTATCTCTTTCAGTTCTGGTGGCCTCTAGCACATGTTTATAGTGCTTTTCCTTTGTGTTAATTTGCTTTGCATCCCATCATAAATATTTCATCACCACTTTGTCAAATTTCTAAAAGGTCATTAATGAGATCAAATATAAAGTATAAGTTGTAAGTATAAGGTTGTAAGCCTTAAAGCACTATATAAATGTCAGGTGCTACTACTATTACTGCAAGCTGTACAAATTTAGCACCTACTGAATACCTCTCAAGATAGAACTTGGTGGCTATTCTGATTATATATCAGAAGCTCAATCTTTCAAGGACTAAAATGACATTTCCCCACATTACAATAAATATGGACCTCAAAATATCTTAGAGAACCCAACCAATAAACTGCACCAGACCAAACTGTCACATACAATAACTAGACATAACATGGGTGATTCATAATAAGAACAAAATGATTAACAGATGTCACCATCCCAAATATTCATAATCTCTAAGCTACATGAAAACTCAAAGGTATGGAGATCTAGCTTAGAAAACCAAAATCATTTGAGAAACAGAATGAGGTACATAGTGTCTCTTTGTGTGCTGTTGAAGTTGTACTCATTATTTCTCAGTGAACCTACAAAAGATGAGTTCATATGCTAATACTTTTGTTCAATTAAAAAAGCAGTTATTTTATCCTCTTGTGCCCTATTCAATAAAATATCTAAACCCCATCAAAAAGATGAGAAGAATGAGGTGACAATCATAATGCAATCACCCCCCCCACTTTAAGCCTTTTAAACCTGTCCTCTCTCCTAGTTAAAGTTTTCTTATCCATGCTGACATTTCAATCATGATAGTTTAAGTTGCAGATGTTTAGTGAGCCACTTTCCTCACTTGTGTTTCCTTTACACAAACAAATACCAATTTAAAACAATGGACATATGCAAATTTCAATTTATTTTGGATAGTGCAATATGGTCACAAAATAGAACATTTTTTTTTGTTTGTCTGTCATTTTGAGCTATTCCGACTCTGTCTCCTATCCACATTATAGAGTAAACTAGGAAAAAAGTAATCTTTTCATATCAGGTAGTTTGTAGTACACTTACTACACTATAAGTGTACATATACACTATACACTACACTATACATATACACATATGTACATATACACTACACTATAAGTGTACATATAAATGCTTAAGCCTGATAAGAAACTTCTTTTTGATAATGCAACAATGACTTCTAACTTCTTTGGTGACTTCAAGGATAATTCAGTTTTATTAAGATTATGTATTTAGTTTTGATTCTTGAATAAAAATGCAAAATAAAAAGCACTAGACAAATTTAGTTCTGCTAATGAAATAAAAAATAACTGGTTAATTTGGCTGCCAAAAATAAATGTATTTGAAAATTAAACTAACATTAAAAATATTTCATGGACTCAACACGTTACCGTTTGTCTGCAGATTGGACAACTAATGGCCCCAAGCCATGAACCATATCGCCAATATGCAATAATGCAGGTACCTGGTTAAAAAAAAAAAAACAATGACAGGTGGGTGAAAGTTTATTATTTGATGAGACAGTTTCAAATTTGATGTATTTTTATATGATCAACAGAATTGTAACTAGAAATTCTTGTGCTCTGGGCAAATTCAGATGAAGCAATAGAGCGAGGGGAAGGGGATGGAGGAGAGAGATGGGGCCACAGAAGACAATCTATCCCATGTGGGTGTAGTCATACTAGGAGGGGCAGCTTGGCCCATAAGTCATTCAGGGAGGATGTGGCAGTGGAGGAAAGTAGCATATGAGGTCATGTTCTAGTGATGGGCAAGGCAATGGAAGCAATAATTCACTGTATGGGATAGTCTAATTGTCCACCACTTGGAAGGAAGAGCATGCCTTAGATTTCAATATCTTTGAGAAAAAAACGTTGTGGTACCATCCTGGTTCTAGCTCTGATAACCAGCTTACTATATAAACATATATATTATTACAGCCAAAAAATTTAGCAATTAACTTAAAAGTTATTCTAAACATGGATAATCAAGTAAACATGCAAATTAAGCAACAATTAATATTTAAATTTTTTTCATTTAAATTACTGATTAGGTTATATATAGGCTACAGATACTCTAACATTCATACTGGTTCCATGAAAACACTACAATCAAGTAAAATGACATTACCAGGGGAAAGATTAATCCGTCAAATGATGTTAAAATAGGTTTCTGCAAAATTGTAATTGATTTCATTTAACCTTTATTAACAATATTATTGCAAAATGACAGTTGTTGGGGAAATTTTATAAGGTTGAATATTTTGAGTAACTTAATTCAAATGTTTTACACCTAAGTATAAAATATTATAACATGAAAGAAATATAATTATAGATATAATTACCACCTCTATACTGATTCTCATATCTACCTATCTTGTCTCAAATTTTCTGCTGACCTCCAATTTTGCATCTCCATCTGTGTTTCAGACATCTCAAATTATCTAGTAGACAATCTTAAACTCAATATGTCTAAAATGGAACTCATTATCTTTCCCCCCAAACCCCACCCTCAGTCCCCTCCCCACCTTTCTTATTTCCTTAGAGGGCAATACCATCCTCCCAATCGCCCTCAGACTCACAACCTAGAAATAATTTTAGACACCTCATTATCTGTCAATTCCCTCACCCTCCTATCCAATCTATTCCCAAGGTCTGTTGATTTCACCTTTGCAACATCTTGAGTACTCCCCCTTCCCTCCTCTGACACTGCCACCATTCTAGTACAGGTCTTCATCATCTCATGTCTGGACTACTGCGATAGCCTGTTGGTGGGTCTGCCTGCCTCAAGTCTCTCCCCACTCCAATCCATTCTGCATTCAGCTACTAAAGTGATTTTTCTAAAGTACAGGTCCCATCATGTCTCCCTCCTACAATAAACTCCAGTGGCTTCCTACTGTCTCCAGGATCAAATACAAAATGCTCTAGTTAGTATTTAAAGCATTTCATGACCTAGCCCCCTCCTACCTTTCCAGCCTTCTTACATCTTACATCCCAACACACACTCTTTGATCTAGTGACACTGGCCTCTTGGCTGTGCCACAAACAAGACATTCCATCTCTTGGCTCTGGGCACTTTCTCTGGCTGGCTGTCATTGCCTGGAATGTTCTCCCTTCTCAGCTCCAACTACTGATCTCCCTGGCTTCCTTTATGTCCCAACTAAAATCCTACTCTTTCTACAGGAAGCTTTCCCTTACCCCTCTTAATTCTAGTTGCTTTTCTTGGTTAATTATTTCCTATTTATCCTGTATATAGCTTGTCTTATATATATTTATTCGCATTTTGTCTCCTCCATTATATTGTAAATAATAATAATAATAATTATAGTAATAGATTATGGAATACAGGCACAAACAAGAAGAAAATAGAGGATGGTAAAAATGAGACTACATTACTTTATTAGAGTCACTTTAATTATGTCTGTTACACTAAATAGTGAAAGTTGATTTTATGTACAATCTTCTTGTTTGTTTCTGTGTATTTGAAAGGTTTATATTTAAGGACTATTGAATTTAAAATTTAAAAATTTTTAAAAGAAAGCTATAAGCACAATTCTTCAGATCAAAAAACATTTCCTATTGCTTTGAGACCTGAGAAAATAAAGCCACTTACACAACTCTAAACCAGCATTTATTGAGCACGTACTTATATTGTACATGCTGAGGGACAGAAGAGGGATGGATGCTGGGAGAGAGGCTGTATACAGAGTATAAAGTGAGCCCTGCAATTAGTTTAACATCCTGAATTAGCCCCTGAAGTGGATGTATTTTAAGTTCTTCCCATTTACTTCTTGAAAATACTTGTATACAGTTTAATTATCTCAAGTCTCAAATGGTTTTTTTTCCAGAATGGTCGAATCAATTTACAATTCACCACCACACTACTAATGTAGTATGCCAATCCTCTCACAGCTTCTCCAAAATTGGTTATTTCTTTCTTTTTACATCTTGCCAATTTGGTAAGTATAAGGTCAAACCTTGAGTTATTTTAATGTGGCCTTTGTTTGATTTGGGAGCAGTCTTTCACACACTAGCTTACAATTATTCCCTAAAAAACTGTTCATATCTTTGGACCACTAACATTATAGAATGTCCCATGGTCTCTTTATGTTATTTCCTGTATATTTCTGACATAAAACTTTTATCAGAGACAACTGATGCAGATTTTTTTCCCCAAATGATAGTTCTCTTTCTTATCCCAGGCAAAATAATTGTGTTTCTGCAAAATTTCATCTCTGACTCTTAGAATCCCTTGTTTCCACAAGAGACACCTTCTGCACGAAGGCTTTCCCAGTTCCCACCAAGTGCTAGTGCCCCCCCTTTACTTTATTTTTTCATAAATACAAATTTTGTATATTTATGTACATGTTGTTTCTTCCAATAGAATGTAAGCCCCTGAGGACGACTGTTGCATTTTTATTTCTGAATGCTCAGTGTTTATCATTGGTGCCTTGCACACAGTAGATATTTAATGAATACTGACAGACTGATAAACTTAATTGAATCTGTGTATTTTGTTTGCCACAATGTTCTCTAACCTGTGGTACAGTGGAGAGAATGCTAGATTTGGAGTCAGAAGACCTGTGTTTGAACCATGGTTCCAACATTTCCTATACATGTGACGCTAGACCAACTCATTTAGCTTTTCTGAGCTTAGCTCTTCATCTGTATAAAACAAAGGAGTTGGTACTAGACCACCTCTAAGATTCCTTTCAGTTGTAAATCTGGGATTTCATGATCTCCTGATTGGTTAAGAACTTTGTTCCCACCCTGGCTGTGAAAGGTATTTTCTAATATACTCCTTTAATTCTTTTTTTATAATGTGGTCTTTTATATCTTGTATGGCTTGTGGTCTTGTATCTCTTTGAAATTTTTTGTGGTATATGGTATACAATGCTTGGTCTGACCTACTTTCTGAAGAAATACATTGCAATTTTCCCAGGAGTTCCTATTAAAGAGAATCATTCCTTCCCCCAATAGTTTCTGTTCCTAGGTTTATTGAATACTGGGCTGCCCTGGAATTAAATTGTTTCTGATTCTTGCTTAGATTCTTGGTCTGTACCACTAGGTTACTTTTCTATTTTTAAACCAGAGCCAAATATTTTGCTGATTCCTGCTTTATAACACAGGTTGAGGTCTGAAAGAGCTAGTCTCCACTCCTCCATCCTCCCCTTGCCCCTTCCTTAGTACTTGTCCCCAGTATTCCTTTATAATTCAGGAGATTTCTGTGCCTCCAAATGAACTTATTATTTTATTTAGTTCAGTTTTATGAAGTAACCTCTTGGATAGTATGCTTACTGTAGCACTAAAAATCTTCAAATTAATTTAGTTAGTATCATCATTTTTATTATATCGGGGCTGCCCAATCACAAGCAATAACTATCCTTCCAAATGAATGTCTTCATATTGGTAGTCATAGATGAGACTCAGAGCTAAAAGGGAGCTCAGATACTCCAACACCCTTACTTTAAAGATGAAGAAAATTATGCATAGAAAGGTTAAGTGACTTACCCAGGGTTACACAGCTAATAAGTATATGATGCAGAATAAGAACCCAGGTCTTCTAGATTCCAGTCCAGAGCCCTATCCACTATATCAAACTTCCTATTTTGTAACTGTATTATAGAATTCTTGAGTATATCATGGCAGGTTGACTTCCAGGCATTTTATGCATTTTATAGTTGTTTTGGGCCCAGAAATCCCACTTCTGGGCATAAACTCCAAGATATAAAAGTCAAAAAAAATCTTATATATACTAAAACATTCATAACAACATTTTCTATGATATCCAAAAATTACAAAGTGGATGAGTATCACAATTGGGTAGTGGCTAAACAAACTAAGATATGTGAATATAATGGATTATAGGAGTGAGAAATTCTGAGAAACTGGGAAGATCTACATGAATTGATGCTGAGTAAAGTAAGGAGAACTAATATGCAAAATGAATATAACAGTGTAAAGGAAAAGAACACTAAAATTAAGCTGAACTCTGTAACTGAAATGACCAGTCTTGGGACCAGAGGAGAAAAAGGATCATTCTTTTTTGGAGAGGTGAGGGACTATCACTGCAAACTGTTGAATGTGGTATCAGATAAGATGATCAGATCAATAAGATGTTAGATTAAAATGGAATAAAATATAATCAAAGAAAAATAAACTACATAAACAATAAAATAGCCAAAGCATGAGAAATTGATCTAGTAACTTTCAACCAAGTGTCACCTTACCATCCAGTTTCTGCCTTCCTGCTACTCAGTAGTTAAGCTGATCTATAGAAAAATTACAAACCTGAGCTGATTTCATCCAACAAAAATGTATGGTGTGTAATGACTTCAGCCTCCACTATTCTTCTGAAATTCTCCTACTCATCTCTTAAATCCCTTTCTTATTCCCCATAACTGCTCCAAATTTCTCTCTCTACTAAAGCCTCTAGCCATACTGCCAAGTCCTCACATTTAAAACTGAC